CCCCCCCCCCCCCCCCCCCCCCCGTTCCCTCCAGAGTTGACTGGACGTTTGGCGCACGGTCCCATCCATCTCTACTGGCTGGGTGGCCCCAGCACTCTATTCTGAGGCAGTGTGGTACCCAAACCACTACCTCATCCCCCACAGAATGAGGAAGACACAGGCCTGAGAACCATCGTTGTGGGAACTTAACAGTTAGGAACCTTGCTGGAATGCGATAACCTACAGTTCCAAAACTCACCGTCAGACCATTTCCCTTGACCCCCATCCGGGGGGGTTTTCTTTATTACACAGAGAATTCAAAGTCCCTCACTATTGCACTACTCAACCTCAGTGAGTCTGCAGTATCTGTGGTTTTAAAGCAGGTACAGCGGACCAGTTTGAAGGTACTGAACTGGCATTTTAACAAGTCACCCACGAAAGAACTGGCAAGTGACAATGGTGACCTATGAATTGATGGACACAGAAAGTAACGCTGGGTCAGACCAAAAAGGCTGAAGAAAACACACAGCAACGAAAACAACCTAAAACAGAAGACTGGGGAAAGGAAGAAACCTGGAAAAAGAAAAAGAAAAAAAAACAGTATATGTCAAGCTGCTAAGTCTTATTTTCGTCAGTATTTTCACCTTCAAACTTCACTTTTTTTTTTTACTGTTTTTCCCCCCACACGAGAGGTGAAGATGGTGAAGCATGAATGAGTTCTTTATCCTCAGAGAATGCTTGGCAAAACAACAACAACAACAAAAAGTAACCGCACGAGCTTTTATTTTCTTTAGACGGGAACAAAACAATATTTTCCATCTCAACCCAGCTAACAGGAACATTTAAAAAATACTTTGCTGGCAGAGATTACAATCACAGATGCGCTCAGCCAAACAGCATCACGTTGCCTTCCTCATTCATTTAATGAATTGTGACTTCACATGGAGGTTTGCATTCGAGAACTAAGTATCCTAAAACTGGCATTACAGTCTTGACTCCATGGAAATTATAATGAGAAAACATGATCATATGTTGAATCTGAGGTCTTACTGCAATAATTGGAAAAATATTCTTCTGTGTTTATAATGTCCGTACTGTAACCCATCTGTAGACTCTTGGTAAATGAAATAAAACCCACTTAAAATTCTGTTGTTTTGGTTGTTGGATCCAGGCAATGTTTGTGTGTGTGTGTGTGTGTGTGTGTGTGTGTGTGTGTGTACATATATATGTAGAGTAATATATTACAAATGTTTCTGTATGTTTGAAATTTTTCATTATAAAAATCAGAAGAACTTCAGTTGCTTCTTTCAAAATCTCTGAGATGACCCATTACTACACCTTGTTCAGACCTTGGCTGGCTTGTGGGTAACAACATCAAGGCAGGTTGCTCTGACCTTCTCCAGCTCCACTTTGCAGGCCAGCCTGTGTAGAGCAGCTACAAGACTCTGCTAAAACAAGCTCTCATCGGGCCACTTCCTATCTCCTCGTGGCTCATCACAAAACGTCAAAACTCCTCTGCCCAGCTTTTCTGGTTCTCAGCATCCGGCCCCTCCCTTCCTGTTTTACCTTAGTCCCCATCATCCCACAGGCTGGTCTTCTCACCAACGCTCTGTTTTCTCCTGCATCTGTGCCCCTGGGACATCATGCCAGGAAGGTGCTTCCTACGACCTTCACTGATCTAAGTTCAAGCTATTCTAGTCCCAGCCTAAGTCTTGCTGTCCCCACTCATTCCTTGTCTTTAGTGCCTGGAGTCTGAACCGTAAACATCCAGAAAGAGTACCCACCTGCACCTTGGATGCAAATTTAGCATCTCCATTCTCAATAAAATTACCACCTCCGTGATTCCCTCTCAGCTACTTAAAAACCAGGAAACAAAAGCAATAAACATCAACTAACAGGTGTTGGAAGGTAAATTATTTATCAATTTCAATGCAGTGATGTTCTAGAGGAACACAAAAGCAAACTCGCTAAGAATATGTGACCCTGTCATTTGTTCAAAACATACTGATTGAGCATCTACCATATGCAGGCACTTTTCTAGGTACTTAAGATACACCAATGAATAAAACAGATAAGCCCTCATGGAATGGATAGTCGGCGGTGGGGGGAGGGGCGGGCGGTGTGCAAACATAACTAATGTACAAAATAAATATGGGTGTTATATAGTATATCAGAAGATGGCAAATGCTACGAAAAGAAGAAAAAGTTGGAAAGGTTAAAGGGAATTTGAGAATACAAGGCAGGGAATGTTGCAGAGGGAACGGGGTGTGCAA